ATGGGTGGTTTGGTAAAGATCTAGGCTTTATCTAGATCTATGTTTGATAAAAACATAATTTTTTTAATATTTGATTTTTTGAGGGAGGATTCCTTGACTAGCATGTTGTCATATTGTAGGAAGGGAGTGCTTATATGTTTTTCAAATATCATCATGCCTATTAGAAAGAAAATTCTTATGTTTGAGAGGAACATATTTGGAGTGGAGATTACTTTGGAATAATCTTTAGGAATTTTTTTCAATCTGGTGATGAGTTCAATTTTCATTATTATTGTTGAGTACAGATTTATAATTTACTCTCAAGAAGCCAGTTCTATACTTTTTACTGAGAAGTAATTCAGATAAGAAAGACTAAGACTTGGTTCCTCAGCATTGGGTTGAAAGTAACTGGTACTTCAGCAGTTAGGTTGTTACCATATTTTTCTTGGCTTCTTCAGATTCTTAAGAGAGGTTGCAATGTGAATGATAGAGATGGATTGACAGATATGACTCTTTTACATTACACCTGCAAGTCTGGAGCTCATGGCATTGGTAAGTATGTGGTAAATCTATTAATTGCTTACATCATCTGCATTCGTTCTTATATAATCAATGTTTATGCCAAGCGGGAGTCCCTGGTTGATGATAATGCTGCCTGAAGATGTGAGGATTCAGTTAGGGTTTTCCAAAATCCTTGTTCCCTTTTCTCAGGGATGTGTTTATACCCACTTGGTCCCTCTCAACTTTTCTGGAATGGGCTTCTTGTCTGATTGCTTACTAGGTGAGAGTAACTGGTAACATCCTAAAAATCTTTGAGGGTTTACAGCAAGGTTTGACAATCGAAGGCCAGTCTTCCAGGCATACTAATCCCCACAGATGCCATTCTTTAGGCCTGTTTAAGGTCTGTTCCTACATGTGTAAAATATGTGTGTATTTTCCAAAGTTGGCATTCCTCTGTGTTTTACAATTTTATAAACCTGCCTCTCTTATTTAACTACAGGTTGTGATCATCTCTCCCTGTTTCCATAGGCTGATACAGTGCTTCTTAAATTATTGGTGGTGAAGGACTCTTTTTTTTCTCTTTTTGCAATCCATCATGGACTGATACTTTTGTAAAATAAAATAAAAATGACTTTGTAATACAAAAATGAAATAAAGACATAAAATATAAGCCCAAATATTTTTCAGAAGGCATGAAATTACATTTCAACTAATATAATCAGAAGAAACATTAAACAGGGGGAAAAAGTTACAGAAAGTACAAACAGATTACAGTTTGGGCCTGGCGGTGGTCCACAGAGTTCACTTTGAGTAACACTGATAAAGTACGTTGTATGTCTCTGTGGCTTCGCAGTGTTCCATTATATGGATGTCTCCATTTATTTAAGCAGTTTCTTATTCTTGTACTTTTAGGTTATTTCAGAATTAATAATGAACAGTGCAGTAATGAACATCTTTACAGCTAAGTGTTTACCTGCATCCCTGAGTATGATTGTTTTCTTAGAATAAATTCCTGAAAGGGAAAATTTTGAGGTATAAGTATATATTCAGTATGTTGTTTGCTTTGGCTTTTAAGATGAGGTAATGGAAAGTCATCCATTGGAACTTAATATTTGTACTGCAGCAAAATAATTTCGAAAATCTTCTGTAGGTGATGTTGAGACAGCTGTAAAATTTGCAACTCAACTTATTGATCTGGGAGCAGACGTCAGTTTGCGGAGTCGCTGGACAAATATGAATGCTTTGCATTATGCGGCTTATTTTGATGTCCCGGAACTTATAAGAGTGATACTGAAGACATCAAAACCAAAAGGCAAGTATTATCAGATCACCATTAGATGTTATTAGTGGAACACTTTAGTAGTGGCATAAACATTATAATTCAAGGAGATTTGTACTTCTAATCCTTCTAATCCTTCCTTGGAAACCTCATGATAATATCACTCTATTTTGCAATGAATTTTATTGTACTAAGAAAATAATTATTTTAACCAGTGAGGACAAGGACTTTATCTATCTCGTTGTTGTATTCTCCCAGTGTCCAATAAGCACTAGTTGGAAGGATGGGAGGAAGGGAGGAAATTAACAGTTGGGGACTAATCAGCGGGAGTAAACAGAAAAGTGGCAAAGAAGTAGGGAGGAGAGGGAACACAGGAAAGAGAGGACGGAA